TCAGAACGCCTACACCAGTGCGGCCAAAAGAGTGAGAGCTGAACCCTATATATTATATTATGAGAGAATGCATACATAGGTGATATGCTATGTATAGTACGCATTTTAGTCAAAGGTGTCACCGAGTGATTTGTGCAGTAGTGGAGGTCAACTCTATTGCTGAAACACAGTTCTTTCTTAAAACTTAAACGGATATCTCTATGTCTGAAACAGCAGGTCTTAAATGCATACACCCCATGCTGAAAATGCAAAAAACATAGACCAATGTTTTTTGCAAAAACAAGCTGGGGAAGCCTCCTCTATTTTTGGCGGTCTAGCTCAGTGGATTTTGGAACATGTGGCTAAGTCTAAGTCTGTCTTCTGGTAGGCAAGATCCGACATCAGACTTCAGCGGAACCATGCTGGCATGGTGCAGGCCATGAGGTGGTGACGGAGAAAGTTAGGCAGCATGTGTGGAGAAGAGCCCACATGTCACTTTCGTTCTTCGATGCTTTCACAGCAGACCGAACTGTCAGGGTCAATTCTACCAAGTGATGGAGGGTGCGCTGAGAGTGTTGAAGGTGAAGGTGGTAGAGAAAGTGCCGCAGCTGTGGAAGGTGGAGAGTAGGGGTCGTTGAAGCTGTGATGAGTTTTGTTTTGATTGCTATGTAGAGCAGATCGATGCCGGTGATGCTGAGATGGGAGAGGGTGGTCATTCTGAGCTTGAAGTTCATGATGGAGTTGTAGAGGAGGTGCGCTGGCAGACTGTCCTCCATCCTGCTTGCTTATGTAGCAAGTTGGAGGTCGATGTGGGATGAGAGATGGTGTAGCTCAGCTCCACAAGCTGACCCAGCCACCAAACGTCAAGCGTTTGCATTCTTAGGGCGCCTCAAATCGGTGGTTCGGGTCACAATGTGATTGGAAAGCCGGTGTGAAGGTCCTTAAGCCGAAACCCTGACAAATTTCTGGACGCACCACCATGAAGTCAAACAAAGCACAAACCAAAAAGCTGCAACCAGCTTTTTCTGTGTCATCACGCCTGTTCAAGCGCTCTGGTGTTTGCAGGTTCTGGGCCAGCCGGGTGAACGCCCGAACCGCTTAGCGCTTCCCTTCCTGAAGCTGCCTGTCTGAACGAGTGTTTCTACTACGGGCACCAGGCCATGCGCTGCGTTATCGGTAGATGGGTGTGAACGGTCGCCACAGCACAACAAATCTGAGACAAATGGATTCAACGCCATTCTGGACACACAAGAGCCAGGCTGCAAAGTGGGGCCATACAGGAGAACCAGACAGGTTCAATTGTGATTCAATAAAAGAAAAATCAAGCCAGCCAGAGAGCTTTCAGCAGAGAGCACTCGCGCACAAACCGCATTTTAGTCCGGAACTATCTTCCATCCAGCGCACGACGAAAGCGCAATGGTGACCCAATAGGTTTGACCTTTGACGCTGTGAACTAAGAAAAGGGATGAAAAAGGGCGCATGTCTACGCTGGTGGAATTGCTTTCCTGAGAAATGCCCACAATTCAGGAAGCTGATGCGCCAGAGCTATCAGCGAAATCTTCTCCAGCGCCGCCGGTCTTACCGGACAATTCTGGCAAATTCCACGCAGCGCGCGTGGCTGAGAAAGGGCTTGCTTTGTTCTTAGGCTTCACAGTATATAATGCCGAACATTGTGGCAATGGAATGTATAGCTGTGATGCCAGTGATAGCGTATGCTTGCCAGGAAAGAATACCAGAGAAGGTTGTGGAGATCTTGGCCTCAACCCGTTTGCTTTCGCGGCCCTCCAGATTCAATTTCCCCCACATTGCCGGAATTCTTGAAGCAGTTCCAATTTGCTCAAGAGCATCTCAGTTGAAAGTTGCTCTTATTGTTTTTATGAAGCTGAGGCTTCTCAGGGGGCGGTATAAGATGTATTGCCTGCAAGGCCCCAGCCGGGCGGCTGAAACTTCTTGTGAAGAACTTGTTCCAGTCGCCGCTTGTGCTGACTGTGGAGAACACTGCCACATTAAACTTGTGTGAGTTCAAGTAACGCCTTGAAGCTTGGCGTTGGTAGGTCCTCTGTGTTCACTATGCCTAGACGCTGTTGTGGTTTTCCACCCTGAATCCTTTGCAGCCACGCATCTGAGGATCCTAGGCAAGGTGAATGACTTGCAGTTTATTTTTGATTACCGGGCAGTTTTGCAAGCAAAGACAGACACACGTCGGCTGGGCAACAGTTCTACTGGTATGTGCTTTTTCGGTCTATCTCTTACCAAGTTTTAGAGCGACTGGGTTGGGAGAATGCTTGTTTCAACACATGTTGGGGGAGAATCAATGGAGGATTGCCCGAGGATTTGGATGTCGACAGCAAGAAGACACTCTCTTCATCTGCGTGGTTGCCGGCAAATTTGCTTTCGGATGTGTTAGACCCTGGAGACACATGTTACCTTCCGGGTGAGCGGGCGCAAGTCTTGAAAGATTTGCCTAAGCTGCGAATGGCAGAGTGATTGGCGACGATGTTTCGCAATCAGCGACAGCTGTGAAAGGCTAGGGCAAAACAGAATAGGACGCGGTGCGATTGGCTTTGCGATTTTCGACATTCCTTCTTAGTTTGAGCAGAAGCCAGTGTATAATACAAATGCACCAAGCACCCCGTGACACCATTGACTGGAAACGGTATTATTGTGCATTTTGCTTCACTTGTCGCTGCAGACATGTCCAGGTGCAGACATGTCAAGATGCCACCGTTTTAAGTTTGCAAGCCAGGAGTGCACGGACAGTCTAGAAGCCTAGAATGGCACTCACGGCTATTATAGAGTTTGAAGTATATATATATATATATATATATATAGAAGTACACAAACCACTTCTTGGTGCCACTTCTTGGGGTGGGAACTTTGTGGGGTCATGGAAGATCCTCGTCCTCCTTTGCAGAGACAGATCTGTCAAATGTGGAGGCCAGCCACACTTCTAAACTAGACATAGCCACTCGAGAGCTTGGGCAAAGGAAGGGGCATTTCACAGAGTGTCATAGAGTTGGCTGGTTGTAAGGTTTTCAACCATGACTTGTGCGTGGGGTGAGGGCAACATCTGAGTCATGCCACCAAAAAATGTGGTTTTGGAAGTGTAGGTGCCTTTATTCCTGTTTCAATTCCCTGGGCGAATCACGTGAGGAGCTCATGTCAGCCCATCTTGCAGGCTGCATCTTCGAAAGATAGCTCAGAGCAGCCAGGCACGAGCGTTGAGGGTTTCGTCAGGGGGGGCTAACTCTACGTGCTTCATTTGCTTGACAGGGATAACTCTACGCGCCTTCGCTTTTTGGAGCAAGCAAAATAGTCGCATTCCTAAATTTCAGTAGAAGATAGTCCTCAAACACAGCATTTTGTGGCAGGTTGGCTGACAGGTGGACAAGCAGCTGGCAACTCTCAGCAAGCTCCTCAAGAAACCCATCCCGTGTACATTGTCTTCTGGCGCAGGAAGCAGAAAGCGGCGACCGACAGATGCATGGCCAAGAATACCAAGATCGAAGGCGGGGAGATCCTCACTACCAACAAGAAGGTGAAAGTCAACACCTTGAAGCTGATGTTTGTTCCGCTGGAAGATCTCAAGGCGAATGGTGGGGGCCAGTTCACGCTTGACGGTGTTTGCTGCTTGGCACAGGCACAGGTTGCTTCACCTCCAGAGGGGTCTTTAGTGCGTCTGGTTTCGTACTCTGATGTTTGAAGAGCAAGAGCTTGAGGAGTCTGGACGGGAGAGGAGTGAGAATGGGAAGATGTTTGTCGTCAGCAAGAAGACTTCGCGGACATACTTCCCAATGTTGCACACTGCGGTCTTGGAGTCCGGAGCCTGGTCTGCGCACTACCCTCAGACACGGCTGCAAGCGGCTGGGTCAACGCGCCCAGGAAACATAGAGCTATCCAGTTGGGACAACCGGAAGTCATGGAGTAAGAGTACGATCAAATATTTAAAGCTTTGGCCGCCTGGGATGATATAGTAGCGACAATTAGATGATTGTAGTACACTTAGATATGAGTACAACGGTCCACAATACAGTTAGCCAGTTTTTGGGTGTGGACAACTTTATTGCTGATCAATAGTTGTGAAAAACGCAAATTTGGCTAGCTCTAAAATGCGAACTATATATGAGTTTTTTTTTTGGGGGTGGGTGACCAACATCCTTGCATCCACCTTCACAATGTTTTGTCGAATCAGTGCGACGCGCTAAAAGTTGGATGCAGAAGAAAGTGATTATGAACATGCAAGCCGAAAGGAGTCTTGAAAAAGTAGGGTTTTTGTTCGACCTATTTTTTGAAATTCTGTTTTGTTCACTTGTCACGCTTGCTTGTTTCTGTACCTTGCTATGCGCGTCTGAGGAGATCTGTGCCTACCTGTGTGCTGCGGAGCGCTTGAATCTGCCATACACGCCCTTGGCCACCGTACAACAGGTGATGGGGTGACAAGTTGTGCGGTTCAACTTCGAGTGGATGTGCAGGGCCTTCTGTTTGGGGGTGTCGATTAATAGTTTCTTTCCGGCGAAGGGGTGTCCATTCGCCACCCCGAAAACCCGTGGGTCCTGGTACATGATTCCAACCATCATCTTGTGGTTCCCGAGGATCAGTTTTCTCCAGCCCGGCGTTTGTTCTTACAGATTGGAGACCCATACAGCTGCAACATCTCCCATCCCGGTCTGGGCCAAGATTTGACACCCAGTTTGGTGGGGCAGTGTGGGGGGTCTTTGATTTGATTCACATCCATCTGAATCCTCTCGAAACTCTCAGTTCTACCGTAGCAACTGCGGACACATTTGATCATTGGGACTACCCTCTTTTTTGTTTTGTTTATTGGATCTCCCAGCTAGCCCGCTGGTCAATTGAACATTGAATGCTTGTTGATCTTGCTTCATGAGAGAACCTCAACTCAGACAGTAAGAGATCTGAACACCTAGACCCAAATCATGCGTCTCCTCATCGATTTCGATCGGAACATTCCGTTGAGGTCGATTTCGCCCAAGGTCGCATGGGGTCTTGGGAGGTGACTCTTTGGTGCCACTGCACCCTCCGCAGGTGCGCAACAAGGTCCGCTTCAGAGAGGCCTGTGGCAAGGCAGGAGTGGAGGAGCAGAAATCGAAGAACGAGTAGGAGTGACACCCATAGTGATATGGCATAGACTGGAGGGAACAAAAACGCAAGGAACTGGCGAGATGGGGGCAACCCTCGATTTGGGCCGTGCCCCGCTCAGGTTGAACAGGTACTCATGTGGTTTTCCATGCATACAGTTTACAAGATCATGGTCGTCTTGGTGAAAAGGTGCATTTGGGCTAGTTTTGACCTGGACCCTGCAGCCAAAGCATGAGTCAAATCTCGCCCATCTCATCCTGCTTTCAGAGGCCGGCGTGCCCACTCCCCGCTTTGCCAATGCCCACACGGAGGACTTGCGTGAAAGTTCGCGAGAAGTGCGTGTTGGGTGAGGATTTGCCTAGCTTCCATAGGGCCGTGTCTCAACATCAGCGGGTGCTTCCCCAAATAGTCCATTCTCCTTTGACCAGAGCCACATCCTTTAGCAGAACATCCATAGATTCAGCAAAGATGTTGCATGAGTTCCATGCCATCCATCGCCTCTCTCATTGTTTCTCTCCATGCCTTGTTTGGCAGCCAAGTCCGTGGCAACTCCACCAGTTCCAATGTCCGGTCTGCCGACTTGGGGATGGCCGGCGTCGCTATCCTCTGTCGACACCAGGATGAGCTCCTGCGGGTTCTGGAGAAGGACTGGAGCTATCCTCTGATCTTGAAGCCCGCGCGAGGCCGAGTCCGAACGCGGGCCGAAACTGACACGGGTTGGGTTGGAGTGTTTGGGTGACACGGGTTGGGTTGGGTCACACGGTCGTTTGGGTCGTAGAAGGTCCTTGGGATGCAGGAATGCCAGTGAAACTGTTGTGGTCTGGGAGGAGAATATCCAATATCTTCATTTCTTTGTGACACAGGAAGTGCAAGTTTCAGCTCAGCCGAGGAAGGTGTAGAACACACACGATCAGGTGTTTAAGCACGTGATGTGTTTTGGTGAACATTTAAATTATGTTTAAAGAACATGAGCGGTTCCAAACTGTTTAAGAACATGTTTAAATTATTTTTTCAGTTTCATTTTCATGTTGAACTGATGTCTTTTTGCTCGAACCGTTTGGATGTCCAGTGTGCAAAGATTGCCTAGAAGGATCTGAAGGACAGGACAGAAGCCGTGTTGCGGAGCCTTGTTCCCTTGTCCTTCAAGGCAAACTCGCGTCCCTGCGAAGTCCTCGAAGAGGGTGGGACCGAGGTACTAACCCTTGAAGCAAGAAACTCACAGAAAACCGGGTTGAGTAGTCGCTCCCAGGCTCCCCAGTTTTTTGTTTTTGAGTTGCGTCCTTTGGCCGAAAGTGCGGTGTAGTGAGGTGCTGGCAGCTACTACTGCCGCAAGGTTGAGGCCAAAGACGAGTTGCTGGAGGTCTTCGCAGCCTTTGATGACGCATGGACACGCCAACTGGACGGACTTTCTTTCGCTTTCTTAACAGTGGTTTCAGAGTAGATTGCGCAAACCCCAAGATGTCCTTTAGATGGGGGTCCATATAACCCACCGACCTTGGGCATTTTGCAATCTTCGCTCAAGCCACTATAATCACACGTGATGCAAGCCAAGTGATCCTTTGGACACGGGAACGGGTCCCGCTGTGAAGTGATCGTTGAACAGCAACGAGATGGACGAATGATATGCCCAGACTGGAAGATGTGCTGGTAGACGTCGTATCTTTTCCAGATTGAAGAGATGATCCCACTCATTGATGCAGATCTGGTCCAGAAGACTCAAAGACACATTAGGGCACACAGGGCCGAGAGCCCTCCTGGCCCCCTTTCCCCACCGCTTAAGACGACACCAACAAGTCAGATCCACACTTCTCAGATCGTGGCAGATCGAAAACACCCAACCGCCCATATCCCACACGTTTTGTAAATATGTGCATTGTCGTCAATGTAGAGCTCTGCTAGCTTGGTCAACTATCATCACAATGAGTTGGGCCAAAGATGAGGCAGCGGTTTTCTTTTTTTGGTGGGAGCCACCCTAGATTGAGACGCACGTCCCTATTGTTCAGGGGTCGTTGTTGATTTCTACTGGGGCACGACCCGCACTGACGGAGCTTGGGCTTGCGCATGCCAGCCAGCCCGAATGCGGCGAAGCTGGACCCAGAAAACAGAGGCGAACCACTGACTATCCCCAAAAGCAAACCGCCTTGGTTAAATCAACCTGGTGCAAGCCAAACAAAAGCAACCAAAAGCAATACATTCAGATCGCCTGGTTCCCAAATTTCCAAACGCCTTCGTTGAACAGAACAAGCAACCTGCCAGATCGGGTCACTCCATTCTTTACGTCTGGTCACCTCCTCAGGGTCACCGAGGACAAGGACAGCTGGTCGAAGTGGACCAGATCTTTCCCCGTGGATCGTCGTCGGCTTCGTTACCGCCCCAAAGACCGCCCGCTTCTCGGGCCGATTGAGATGCGCCAAGGGCCAGCTGCGCAGCGAAGGGAAGACTCCTGAGGACCAGGGAAGACTGGGTGGAGGCCATCGCTACTAGGAACAAGGACGCTATGAACGGAACAAAGGGCATCGCTACGAACGGAGCAAGGACGCTACGAATGGGGCGCTCCTGGCCTTACTAGAAGACCCCTGAGGACCAGGGAAGTCATGTAGGTGGCGGCTACATGGAAAGTGCCAACGGCAAGGTGCCGTGACCCATTCTTTGATCTACTCCCATGTTCTTTTTGGCAAGAAGGTGCGGGCTCTAGTTCGCTAGCACTCAGGTGATTGAGTTGAAGCCACACTTCTATGACCTTTGAACAGATTAAGCATGATTATTAGACCAAACATCTTCAACCAGCATGTTTCACCTTTCTAATGTGGTACGATACCCTCCGACTCACGAACATATGCTTGTGGAAAACCAGGAACATGGCATCTGGATCATCTGGACCATCGTTTGTGAGTCAAAGTGTATCCCTTTGCTGGTCCCAGACATCGGCCATGTATTGCCCAGTTCTCGAGTCCAAGAGTGATCCTCACCAGTAACAGTCCTTTGGATCAAGGCCCGAAGTTCTGAAAACACCTTCACTCTGGAACCTGGCACTCTGGATGTGGGAATGAAACCTGCCACTAATCACCAAATGAGTGTGTGCCTGTTTGGGGTCCCTGTTGAGCCGTAAGCGGCCACCAACCCTTTGGGGTGGGGTGAAAATCACAGGAGGACGTGCGCGGCGGGTGGATCTTGGAAGAATGGTTCAGCGGCTGGGAAGTGGATGTGGACGGCTGGGCGAAGGAGAGTGAAGGGTGGACGATTGCGGACGAGGGTGGACCAAGAAGGAGAGAAGATTGAAACGTTCTCGTTGACTGTGCGAAGCAGGCTGGAGTACTTCCAGACTCCTGTGCAAGTGTGACCAGATTGAATCCAACCTGAAGCATTTATCGAGATCAATGCAGCTGAGAGCAGTCAGAGTGTGACTTTAGTAACTTTAGTGAAGCCCATCATGCAGGATGGACAAGTGGAATGGATGTTGGTTTCCGACAACAAGCCGCTGCAAAGCCATGCTTGCTGTGAGATGGGTGGTGTGAGCTTTGGCGGCATGTCGACGCACGGGACTGACTGACGATGACTGACGTGTGTCTACCACGAACCCAAACCAGCGCCTTTTCGTGTGGCTACTGAGTTGGTTCTGTTTTTATTCACGAACCAAACATACACCATCCATCGATGGTCCCCAAGACCGGCCGGATTGGGACGGCGAGGAACGGACGTTGGACCGCGGTCCCACAAAGGCTGGCCCCCCCCCCTTCGGACGGCGCGAAGCGGTGGCGTGTGCAGATTTCGGCCGACCGACCGGGAAGGCACGCGAAAGCGGAAGGGGCACAGCGTGTGTTTTTGGAAGAGCCTCGAAGTAGGTGTGAGTGGTACCCGGTCGGACCGGGTCGTCTCCTCGGACCAAACCACCCAAGTGGTCAGATTTGATTGATTTGATCATCATATCTGAGCTGCCCGTGCATGTCTAATGATGTGCATGTCTCCTTCTGCGTTTTCCTTCCCTCCGGAGGTGCCCTCTTTGGGTGAATCTCGGACTCCTGCAAGCTTCCCCAGGTATCCGTCCCAGCTTCCGGAGCACTTGCAGGAGCTGCTGCGAGAACTCACGCGCCAGGTGGATGCGGGGATGCGGTGAAGCCTGGATTTTGGGCCATGCTGGAGAGTGCGATTTTGTTAGTTTTTGCCTTTCTCGGGCGATGTTTGACTGGGTAAGTGGGAGTTGTCCACTTTTTTGTCAACTTTTTTCAGGTCGTTTTGACATGTTTTTGATTTGCTTGTGCTGTAGTTCGGGTTCCTTTGCTTGCTCTTTTTCACCCAGGTTCACCACCCGAAAAATCGACCAGTTGCCGCGGTGGTCGTAGCCTGGCTTTCGGTTTCAGGTGGACCCAAAATCCCACGGATGGTCGACCCTTCGAGCCCGACGAGCCCGAAACGCGTGGTCTCCGAACGAGCCCGGCGTCACCCGGTACCGATCGCGGGTGACCGGTAGCGGGACCGATGGTTGAGTCGTATTGTAAAGCGCCTGGCAGCACTTGGATCGCATGTTCGACGCAAAAAGTCAGTCTGTGGATCCTCAAGGAGGGTTATTCACCTCAACTTCCGATGGGCTGGCAGGCCCAGGTTGGTGCAGAACCATTGAAAAGAAAAGACAGATCCGAGATAGGGTTCGTTTCTCGTTCTTCTTTACACTTTGAGCACTTTGCGCTTGTGGTGCGTTTTCAATCCGACTTGCTTTGGCTCCATAGCCTCCATACCCTACTGGGCTCAGGTGGTTCGTGCCAGCCCTGGCCTGCATTCAGTCTTCCATTTCGAGGCGCCCGGGGACCCTCCGGACCGAAGCAGATCGTTCGACTATATAAGGTTTCATGAACATTTAAACAATCAAATCCACTCCTTCACAGTTCACACCATTTCCACTTTGGCCTGTTGGTGTTGGATTGCATGGCCGAGATCTGATTCTGCTGCACCTTGGGCCAGCAGCTTCTGGAAGTCTGATAAAGGAGGCAACTGCTCAGGGCCCCTAAACACACAACAGAGATCTATTGCTGGAGTCTCAGTTGACCAGTGACACCAAATCTTTTTTAAAGTTGTAATGTCATACTGTAATGTCCAAACCAACCACCCAAAAGTGGGTTGAGTAAATTTGTCCAGACACTTGCTCCCCCCTTGCAACCAAGCCAGGCCTTGGTGAATCTGGAGACGCAGGAGCCTGCATGTTCTTCTTTTTCCCCGCCTGTCAGGTGAGGGTTGTTAGATTTTATGTCAGCTGCCTTCCTCCTCCTCCTCCTCCTCCTCGTTCGCCTGCGCCTTTGCGTCCTCGTCCTCCTCCTCCTACTCCTCCTCCTCCGCCTCGTCCTCAACCGCCTGCTTCGGACGGCAGTGTTCCCGCTGGATCTCAACTGCAGGTGCAGGATGGCAGCGTTCCCCGCAGGACCTCAACCGCCCGCTCCGGATGGCAGTGTTCCCCACTGGACCTCAACCGCGAGTTCTGCTTGACAGTGTTCCCCGAGCTCCGGCTGGCAGTGTTCCCCGCCGGACCTCAACCGCAAGTGTTCCCCAGGGACCTTAAACGCCAGCTCTTTGTAGATTAGTATGACGTATGTGTTATCTGTGACTGTCTTGTTGGAGCGATCACTCGAAGTGCATCTGCTTGCAAGAATGTTGGTCACAGCTGGCAAGTGTGATTCTTTGTGCAAGCAGCTGTTTCTAAACAGGCTTGGGACACAGGCAACATCACACAGCAAGTATGTACATGTGTGAGCCTAGGCAAGCAGCATATGTGAGCATAGGCAACTGCAACTAGCAAAGTGTGGCACTCCACATCATCGGATAGTGAGCAAGCTAGGCAACATCATACAGTCAATATATGTCCCATTATACACTGCGGCAGCTGTTTGCCAGCACTTCAGAACACACAAGTGTGCGAGCGCAATCGGGCGACCTTCGGGCGAGATCGCTGTGCAGAGGCAGGATGTCACAGAATGCTGACAGGCGGCATGCCGACATGATTTGGCATGTTTTGCGTACTGAAAGCATTTGATCTCTGGCCCAGGCGTCCAGCTGATCTGTTTCTTTTCTGGTTGCAAGCCAAATGACAGATGCAATGAGATGAAGCCAGGATGTTTCACAATATCAACTTTTTGCTATAGAGCAGGCAAGTGTGACCTGATTATATGTGCATTACTTTCATGTTATAGTTATAGTGGACTGAAAGGTAATGGTGGGGATCTCTCGAAGTGAAGTAACTTTTTGCTGTTGTTTTTTCCGGTGTTGCCCAGGTTGAACCACGCATTGTTGCAATGCTCCAACATAGAGAAACCTCAACTTGGGTTTGTTTCAGTAGAGGTCGGTCCTCATTCTGAGACAGAGAGGTCGGCCAATTCAAAAGGCACTGATTTTGGTGGAGCGTCTTCTCACCAGGCGCCTGAACTGGAAAACGGCGCTTGCTCTGCCTTCAGAGTTTCCGATTGCATTTTTTTAAACATGTGCAAACAACATGAACAAGGAATTGCATGTTTTTTTTCTAAAATCATGTTTTACTTTGTTCATTCTACATGATGATGCCATGGTTTCATCTAACAAAAGCCCGCCTTCCGAGCGATTTGTCCCCCCACCATGGATTGTGGCCCTAGGAGGTGATGCCGGTGGAGCTGAACTTGCGCCTGGGCGGTGCGGAATGCCCTTGCTGTGTGGAGGTGGGTGATGGCTGGGTGGTGGCAAGCAAGCAAGTGGATTGGAAAAAGACTCCAAACTGTTTGAGTTGGTGGAGCCTGGTGTAAATCACAACAATTTTGGAGAGTTGCCAATCTTTTTGACGGTGACAGGGTCACTTGCGGAGTTTTCCACACCGGCGATGCCTTCAATCCACACCAACCAAGCCACCCATTGCCTGCAGATTACCACCACATTTGGGTACACTCCCTGAAATAATCGAAGTGGATTGCATGGCCCCTTGGATGACCATGAAATCCACCACAAAAAAATCCACCACAAACAGGTGGTTCTCCACTTCCATGATTATTTCAGAGAGTGTATAATGATTCATGGTCCGTAAAACTTGTGTCTACCCTCGCGGCCCTTTTGGGAGGCTTGTCCTCCCACCCAGGATTCCAATCTAAACGCCATCACTACTCCTTTCGATCAAGGTAACAACCTTCACACTCCACTGGTTCCTGCTGACTTGTTGATTCATGGAGAGAGGTGTTGAGAGGTGAGAGTGCGCCACCCGCTTCAAGGGCATCACCTTCCTACTAGTAGCTAGGAGCTACGTTCGTAGCTTCTAGGTACCAGTAGTAATGCCTTGTTACTAGTAGCGATGCACTTGTTACTAGTAGTCTTTTTTGCACCCCATCCATGACCAACGCCACCTGCGCCCAACACCCGGCCTCGGGTCTCTAGCGAGACCGGAGGCGGTGTCGGGCGTGTTTCTGCCGTTGATGGCTGCCCGCTTGGCAATTCCAAGCGTTCTGGACCAGAGCCCGGTTCAAGCGCTTGAAGCGCCACAGGTGGGATTGGACAGTGGGTGGTTGTGCTTTGTTTGGAGGGTGGAGTTGTGCGGGTTTTTTGGGATATTTTGGGATGCCTGATTGGGAAGGGTGGAGGAAGAATCACACGTGGTGAGCTGACAAACTCTCCAAACAAGATCAGTAAACCAACTCGGCTTTGGGTGCTTGTAAGTCCATAGATGAATTGGCTGATAAGTATCACAACCACCTCAATGGCCAAAGCCAAGGGCTACTCATCCGGTGTTATGCCGGTCCTGAACGCACCCGAGAGCCTCCACTACCGGGTGGACACAGCGTTTTACATACGCCCACTCACTGGAGAATGAATCTCACCAGAATGCCAGGTGCAGGTGGCGGCTTCCACCAATGAAGCTCGGTGAAGTCTCAGGCCCTTTCTTTACTCAGTTGACGAAAGACATGGAGGTCAAAAGAGAGCAACATGGGGAGTTGTACAGTCCATCCTGTTAGGGAACGGCCGTGTTTCGTGGCGCTGGACAACAATGCGCCAGCGTCGTTAGGGAGGACATTTCGGGGAGGTCGATCTGTCCCAGACACGACCTGTCTGGGATTGGCAGTCCTGACTCCCGATCAGTTGGGGTGGTTTCAGGGGTCAATGTGACATATTCCAGTTCCATTGGTCGTGTCTGGGTGTGTGGTTTGTCCATTCTTCGCAGTCCCAACTTGAAAAACATCTACCAGGTATGGGGGTGTGGGGGTGTGGGGCTGCACCACTGGGGTCGCCATGAAGTCACATGAACGTTCATGATGCGTGGGGCCAGACGACTCATCTCGTGCATCTTTTGGGACCCATATAGAGGCTTTGGAAAGACGCTGAGGCTGCCTTGACTGTTTATTGACCCCTACCTACCTACCTACCTACCTAATTACCTGCCCACCTTGACTGTTTATTGACCCGCTGTCTATGAAGTCATCCCTATTTGTTTGACCCCTACCCTTTTCAAACCTTTGCGTGCTTTTATGGTGCGGGGGACGTGCGGCGCCCTTTTGAGAACCGACCAGTGTCAAGAAGGAAGTCTTTGAGCAGAGACAGGGTCCGAAAAAGGAACTAAGACCAACACCGGGGTCAAAAAAGTAGACAAGAGAAAAGGGTGCCGCTTTTGGAACAAAACGGTGACCCTTTGGAAACCTGTGCGGGAACAGCGGCGACGCTGCATCACTCAAAATCAGGCAAACTCACAATCAGGCTGCATCACTCCATCCATAATCAAATGATGAATTCTTTATGAAAAAGTCTAGAGTTCTTTGTTCAGTTCGTTTGCATTTGTTTACCATCAAATTATTTTTCCAAAAGTCTAGACTTTTCGAGTCTTTAGCCTTTACATTGCATGCTTTTACATTTTTTTCTATCTTCTTGCGAGTCTTTTTGGATCCTTCCTGAGGAGTACGCCCAGCACAAGGGTGTGGTGGAGGCCTGCGAAGGCTCTGAGGACCGGCTGTGAATGGGAAATCTACACTCTACACAATCCAGATCTTACTGTAATATGGGTAATATGAGTCTTATTCAATCCAGCTTAATATCTGGTGTCTTCCCCCTTGATATGGTTGTGTAGTCAAAGACTACAGAGACCCCTTGTGGCTGTTGTGGTCCAACTTTTGCCTTTTACCACGGCTCATAGAGGGGGTCTCCCTAGTTGAACACGCGCCCATGCAGAAAACGCCCCCCCCGTGTCTGGAGGGGTAGCACTGTAGCATGCTTTTTTCACCCACAGATGGATTTAGAAAGATAACAGCCCCTTTGGGAACAGTCCATCGGTTCTTGGCCAACGTCTTTTCACCTTTCTGGTTGAGCTAAGAGTGTTATTTCGCACCAGTTTGGGCTTTAGTTCTTTGAATCTGAAGCCTCAGGGCCTTCACGACAATCTCCGGACTGACTCCTCCCACCATGAAGGTCAAGTCACCCTTCTCCGGGACTCGACCGCAGACAGAGAGTTCTTTTTTGGACTTCGCTTTTTTGGCATTCTGAACGAGTAGAACAAGAAGCTACTAGGGGCTCCTGGCATCGCTACTAGTAACAAGATCCCGAACGAAAAAGCGGAAGGTGTTTCTGGACCTTCCGACTCGTCAACCTTGACTCCACGATCCTTTCGGCCCTTCAGGAGTTGTATTCTGATCCCTCCTTCCTTGGCGCCGCCTTCTTTGCCACGAAGGAACCGACGGGTGGTGTGAGGGTGAGCGACGACGTGCAGCCCCCTGACCTTGTTCATCTCACCCTACGGGCCACCCCTGCCTCACAAATTGTGGGAGTGGGAGGTCAATCCATATTGGCTGTTCAACTGATCGGTTGGGTTGGGTGAACTCGATCTTGCTGAAGTCGACGAGTTTGTTTAGTGCATCACAATCGAATCACCTTATGGCACACACGAGCCCTACATGCATCTTTAGCCGCATTGTGTCATTAAAGACCATATACATATACACACGATATTCACTTGAGTTGTTGTATTGTTTCTGGTGAGAACCATCACACCATGTTTGCCTTCTTCCACAAGGTCTCTGTGCTCGACATCATACTCAAAAGTAGATCATGCAATGTGGTTGACACAAACATGTTCACCGCAGACACACGAAGAGCGTGAAAGCACGAACAGCGTCGTGGCCCCTCAAATGGGGATGGGTTAAAACCCGGAGCCCCAACACCACGTAGCTTGACCTTCTGGGTAGGTCAACCGAAATATCCCGGTTTTGACGCCAAATCAACCCCTCGCGTTTGCTTCGTTTGCAGGGCTCCAGCTACGAGCCCTTACGCGGCTCCATGAGCTGCCTTGCTTGGCTGGCTGCCGGCGGACGTCAGGGACACCCGGGACGGTGGTGGGACTGTGGTGGGAGATGACATGATTGCAGAGGGGTGGGCTTAAAGTATGACTTGTTTACATTTGCCTACAGATTGTATATATGTAGGTGAAAAGCCAGACTCACCTATACGTCAAGCATCTTTGGACAGTTTATGCAATCTTTGTTGTCACCCTTGATTGAGGTCAAAATAATATGCTGGCTGTGGCCTCCCTTTGTGGTAAGCTCCTTGCCCTCTCTTCCTTGTCCTTTTGTGCGGTCTTTCTTTTTTTTGCTTGCCCTTCCTTCTCTTCCTTCCTTGCCTTTGTGCAAGATGCAGCATCTCTCTCTCTCTCTATATAGCTAGCTTGAGCTTGTAAGTTTGACATGTGATGCAACAAAAACCTAGCACCAGCCAAGACAGTGGTTCCCAAGCTAGCACGCCAAGGGAGGACAAGCCAGTCAGGGGTGCGCTTAGTGTCAGCGGCATATCCTCCAATAACCACTGATGCCATGGAAGCCTAAAGCAGGAAGACACAAAAGCTGCAGCTACTCAGCTACTGTTGATGGGAACCAAATATTCAACGCAGCGTCCGCCTTGTTTTTGGCCCCTGACGTCGTCGCTTGGGAATCAACCGAGCTTGGGGAGGCTTTCCAGCGGAACGACGTGGCGTAACAGTAGCTTCTTGTTTCTATCAGCTTCTTGCTCCTAGTAGTACGGCCAGGAGCCCCGTTCGTAACATCCTTGCTCCGTTCGTAGCGACTTTGACGTGGCTTGCCGTTCTTTCCTCGGCCGATCAACTCATTCTTCCACGGCCGGAGAGAGCATCAGGGTGTCTTGGCCCAAGACGGATCCCCCGTCCAGCCCGTTGAGTCCAACACAAGGTCGGCGTCCTCCGGATTTGGGAAATAACAAGGCATGGTTGGAAACCCGAATCGTGCGGAGGAGAGAAACCATCACACTATAAGGCTTTAGGTCACTAGATACCGTTGGCTATCCACAACTTTGGAGATGTGGAGCACAAACAAACGAGATGTGGGATTCTTCCCCAAGCTAGATCAAGGAACAAACAGAGTATGCTTTTGTTTCCTTTCAAGTCCCAGACAAGCCCCCCCTTAGGGTTTTAACAGGAGTGTGGCGGCCAACGAATGCTGTTGTTCCATGTTGTTCCATGTTGTTCCCTTTGAAGCCTTTCAAGCATGTGACTCACATGTGTATTGGAATAGGGAGACCAAAGTGTTTCTTTTCTTTCCTATTACCGTCCTGCGGGGATCTCCCTATTTCAATACGTATCCATGTGTTGAACATGGTGAACCGATTTACCGCCATCCATTTCCTTCCAGACCAGTCCCCCCTGAATGCTGGTTCACTTGGTTCACCAGACTCAGTGGCGAACCATCCCGACCTGTCTCTTTCGCCACCAAGGGGATGCGAACGAGGCAGAGCAGAATCTGCGACCTGGCAGCTTAGGATGCCCGAGATGGCCGGAGAGGTCGTGTAGATGGCCTTAGGATTCTTCCACGTTCGATCGTCTACTTGAGGGCGGTAGACTATATGAACATGACTAGAACGAGTTTTTGCCGGGCACTGGGCAACACAGAATCGGAAGCACCACAAGGCCGCAAGGCACCACCATTAGTGCAGGGGGTAAATGGCTGAGCCCGTTGTTGCTTAGGTCCTTTTGGATGGTTGGTTCGAATGCATCCTTTTCTCATCCTGTAGTGAATCGAATGTGAACGGTCCAACACAGAACTGTGCTCGCCAGCCCTTTCGTTTCGGCGTGGGGGCAAAGACCATGAACCACGGGATTAATGTGCATCAGTCATAACATACTGTAGACGATCCTGTTCAGGACCATTTTTGTTTTCTAATGTGCGATCTTTTGAGAACTCGGAACCAACCACTTGCCGTAGAAACTTCTTTCGACCACCAAGTTCGATACTTGCAGTGGTGATTGGTTGGCAGCAGAAGTCAATCACCCAAGCCCTATTGAAGTTCTTGCAAGAGTGAGATTCACTCGCCGTGCCGGTGCTGGGAATGAGAATGAAGGAATGAGCACCCAATAGAGATTCCTTTGGATCCTTCCCAGTGAAATCACATGAACACATAGAAAACACTCCGATGACACGTAGGGTTCCCAGTCCTTGTGGTGGATATCCCCACCGAAGTGGGACCGAAGGCTCCGGATATGAACCATTTATCTAACCCCCCGCAACCGCCCGTTTTCGCCTCTGGAGTGAGCGTTTGATGGTCAGAAAGGCTGGGAATGTCATCCACGAAAAGAGAGGGAATTCATGTCCACTCGGAGGAGCTCAACGATCGCATCCGAAGCCCCAAAGAAGGGCGGAAGTCACCTCCAAGGCAACGCTGCCTCTCCTTCTGCAGCTTGAAGGCCGGCGCCCGGTTTTTCGGAGCCGCGCCCAGCGCGGGCGGAGCGCTTGAGGGTCGCTGGCGCCATGTGGTGTGCATGTTCAAGTCTTGCAAGTTCATGTCTCTTTCTCAGCATGATGAGGAAACTCTATAGTGTTTGATCCATCTGAGCTCAAAAATTGGTCAAATAAGCATGTGGCAACATAGTATGTGCCGATCATGGAAAGTGAGCGTGTATACTGTGATCCGTGACTGCCATGGTCAGCGTTCATGGGAGCTTTTCATTGGAAGTGCTTGGCCTTTGCTTCTTTGCTAACCTTGGATGCCCTCTTCGTGGAAGTGCCACCTATTGAGCACTTGGACGTGTGACAGCTGATTCACTTAATATTGGGTGTGCGTGCCCAATTGCACTGGCACCCATTTTCCGATCATATCCTATGAGTCCGGGACCACGCACACACACACACACTGAAAAAGGCCATTGGCGCGACTCGTGTCTTTCTTCCAGCCTTTAGTTTTGAGAGGTCAGAACCAATCAAGGTGTCCTGATGCCAGGACCCACGGCCGCAGAGAGTCTTCGAGTCTTTTTGGTCCCCTTCCCGGCGTCAACGCAGGCCTTCACGAATCTCAAGAACCCAGGCGACTTTAAAACTGTGGTGCGCGTCCTCTCTTTGAAGGTCTCACGATAAAATAGCGGCCTTGGAGTAGATCGATGTGGACAAAAAGCAGAACGCCGATTTTGCCAGACCCTGGCAACGCGTGAGTCAGACACGCGACCATCGACCGATTTCCTTCTGTTTCACACATGTCTGTTTTCATCTTCTTTCACAGACATGTCTGTTTTCTCAGGTCTGTTTTCTTCTTTCATTTCCCTCTGTTTCACACATGATGAGGGTTTGGTCTCCAGGTTTGGTCAAACGTCTCTTGCCCTCTTCACTCTGGCAGGTGCTGCCTGTCTCTGAGCCAGCCAGTGAAATGACGTGAGCTGGGTGCAAAACAAAGCGTTTGGGCGATGATTGGAACATCTGGGATGGGATGGTTGGTTTCATGGCCCTAACGCAAGCCACGGGTGAGGTTGGATGATGATTTTCATCAGCTGCATTTAGAGTTGCTATCTTCATTAGACTTGAGGGACTTGGAAAGTGCTGAATGTGGATTCAACTCTCTTTGGGAAACCCCTTTGCAAGGTTTTAATGGAATCTGTTTTCATCCTTGATCCATTGGCGCTAGTTCTCGCAGAGCTTTAGGGATAGCAAGTGCGTCATCCTGGGGTGGGACATGGCAAGTTTAAGTGGAGTAGATAGGACATTGCCCATTAAAGGAATGTGAGAGCATTCGTCCTGTGGTTTGGTTGTCTCATTGTGTTCTATCTGCTTTTCCGCATGACTACTCACAAGGTGCACCTCACGATTTCTGACTCCACGATACTTGCAGCATGAATTGGACATGACGTCTCTCTTGTCATGGAAGGTAGCCTGGTAAGGGCTAGCCTGAGTTTGCTTTGCGAAGGGGTTTAGGGTTTAGGGTTTAGGGTTTAGGGTTCAGGGTTTAGGGTTTAGGGTTTAGGGTGTCGATTGCTAGTGTTTTGGTGCCTCTCTTTTCGGGGTGCCTATCGATACTTTTTTAACGGCACCCCTCCTCTCAAATTGACACCAAAACACGCCAGGCTAGACTTAGGGTTACCCAGCCTAGAGCCGCCCAGACCTAAAGCTTTTAGGGTTTAGGGTTATCAACCCCCCTACCCCCCACTCTTGGGGGGTTTTGATGAGCAGGGAACACAAGAAGAGGCATGCAAGCATGGAACAGAAACATGTAGGGGCCAAGTCTACCCGCCAGTGGGGGTGAAAGCTTCCAATCATTAGCATGCTGCTAAAGTTGATTAATACTTGACCAAGGTCGAGCCAAGACCCACCAAAGGATGCGTGACCCCACAAGCACGAGGTGTGGAAATCGTCAAGACTTGGAGTGTCCAAGGGCGGGGGCCTGGCAAACCTGGAGTTTGCAAGCTAGGAGACCGAGGTTCGGAAGCCGCGTATCGACGAAGAAACGCGTGAAAAATAGAAAACCTTTTTGGGGCCCTCCGGGGCCCCGATGGAAACGCTCTCCGAGTAAACAAAATGCTGCTCGTTTTTTGGGCAGCAATTTTGGGGAGCCTACGACGACGACGACGACGACGACCCCGGGCAGCGCACTAACCCGCCAAAGCCGGGTCCCAAGCCCCGGGACCCCGTCGACCAGGCGACGGGGGAAGAGGGAGGGGTGCGCTGCCGTCCGGCCCGGGGCCCGAGACGGAGGCGCGGAGAAGCACTGAAAGGTTGATTGAGGAAAATTGACACCCCCAAAAACCCCCTCGACAGGAAAATCGACACCCCCCAAAACCCCCTCGACAGGTATGGAAAGGGCATCACCCACGGACGTAAGACATTGCAAGGCGTGCGCCCGGTGGAAGCTTTTAGTGGTGTATGTGTGTGTCGGTTTTTTTTCCAATTTTGGCAGCAGGGCTCGTATAGGCCTCCCACCAAATAATTGCAATTGTTTTCTAAGATACCACCCCAACAGTACACAGTTTGGGAAACAGATACAAGCTCGAGAGGGCGGGTTTTTTTGGAAGCTCACAATGGGCCTGCAACGCAGGCTTTTGGAAAAGTTCCCCAACACGACCATGATGGCGGTAACGCGGCGTGGAACACAGACTCTGAACGAGCTGGCGGTGGCAGCACTTTTCAATGAATGCGAGGCAGTCTGCACTTTGAAGGGTGACCTGGAGTCAAACCCTGCCAACTACGACGACACAGGACACTTGAAACCCGCCCGGGCTTGTGTGCCATTGGAAGTGCCGTGCTATGTCGGCATGAAGCTGTACATCACCAAAAATGTAAACAAAGCCCGGGATTACATCAACGGCATGCGCTGTACCCTGGAACACTATGACCGGGCTTGCAAGGCTTTGATAGTGATGACAGAAACTAACCACCGCCTGACAATCAGACCATGGACAGACGTTGCTTTCCAGCAGGCATTTTGCCCAGTGCGACCCGGATACGCGTCCACAGTGTTGAAGATGGCTGGAACGGAGCTACCGCATGCAGTGCTGTGGCTCGACTAGCCGCATGTCCCAGCAGCAGCGTACCCAGGAATGAGTAGGGTTGTATATGGCTCCCAGCTGTTCCTGGGGGGCAACCTCAACCCCGACCATTTCACCCCCGCTCGACCGTAAGACATAGCGGGCGCGCGTCGTGTCAGCAGAAACAAGAAACGATGTACGCGCATGAAAGCTGAGACGCATGATTTCTGCACGACCGCACCACAGGAGCGATGCCCTAGCCACTTTTCTGTGCATGAATGGCTCACAGCAGAGAGGTGCCCGCGCCACGGCCAGGCGCCGCGACAGGGGGGCGCACCAAGGAACAGTAGAGCTTGTCGCGCCCTGAGTGGTGGAATTGGAGACTTTGTCCGGCACTGGTAGTGAAGACCCTTGCGTAACGTGTTGCGGCCAGGTGAAGCTCGTGGTCGACGCGGTGGCGGACGTCTTCTTCGCCGTCGGCTTCGAGGCGCGGTAACCCACCAAAGCCCGGTCCCAAGTCCGGGGACTCTCCTGGTCACACGGCACCTGCCGGCGTGACAGGGAGAGGAAGTGTGAGGGGCGCGCCCAGGCTTCGAAACCTTCAAAACCTAGAATTTCAAGGTTTGAAACGTTGCAAATCTAAAGGTTTCAGGTTTGGAACCTTGAAAACCTGGAGTTTCCAGCTTTGAAGCCTTGAAACCTTGGAATGTCCAGGTTTGGAACCTTGAAAACCTAGAGTTTCAAGGTTTGAAGCCTTGAAACCTTGGAACGTCCAGGTTTGGAAA